TTAGAATTTAATTAATATATATATATATATATAATGTCTTTTTGAGACAGGGTCTCCCTGTAGCTTGGCCTAGAACTCCCTATGTAGACCAGGCTGGCCGGAACTCACAAGAGATCTGCCTGCCTCTGCCTCCCAAGTCCTGCGATTAAAGGCGTGCACCACGCCAGCTAATTTAGAATTTTAAAAATTGGGGCTGGAGAGATGGCTCAGTTGTTAAGAGCACTGACTGCTCTTGCAGAGGGCCCAGTTCAATTTCCAGCACCCACATGTGGCTAACACCTGTCCATAACTCCAGTTCTAGGGGATCCAACTATGCCCTCTTCTGACCTCCAAGGGCATTGCAGGACATGGGTGCACTTACATACATGCAAACAATACACTCATACACATAATAAAAAAGAATTTAAATTATTTTTTTGCAGTGCTAAAAATAGAAACCAGGGCCTTGTCTGTACTAGATAAATCTTTACTACTGATCTGATTCCCCAGCCTTGCTTTTTTTTTTTTTTTTTTTTTTTTTTTTTTGTCTTTTTGAGACAGGGTCTCCCTGTACCCCTAGCTGTCATGGAACTCGAACTTGCTATGTAGCCCAGGCTGGCCTTGAACTCACAAATATCTGTCTCTGCCTCCCAAGTGCTGGGATTAGAGGTGTGTGGCACCCACCATGCCTGGCTAAGCCTTGATTTTTTTAAAAAAATTTATTATTATTGTCTTTTTGAAGCAGGGTCTCCCTATAGCCCCAGTTGTCCTGGAACTCACTATGTAGATCAGGCTGGCCTCAAACTCACAAAGATCGACCTGCCTCTGCCTCCCAAGTGCTGGGGTTAAAGGCATCATGCCTGGCCCAAAAATTTTATTATTTTTATTTCATGTGTGTAAGTGTATTGCCTACATGCATGTAAGTGCACCTGTGTCATGCAATGCCCATGGAGATCAGAAGAGGGTGTCGGATCCCCTGGAACTGGATTTACGGACAGAAATCCACCTGCCTTTGGCTCCCAAGTGTGTGCCACCAGGCCCAACCAAAAATAAATGTTTTAATAAATTTAAATGCTTCATTTGGAAATGATTTTTTGAATGTCAGATATTAAATATTTATTTTTATTCATTTAAAAATATTTTGTTTTAATTTTATGTGTATGCATGTTTGCTTATATTTATGTAAATGCACCACTGTCATGCAATGCCTTCCAAGGCCAGAAGATTATTATAGATCCCCTGGAACTGGAGTTACAGAGGGTTGTTAAGCTACCATGTGGGTGCTAGGAACTGAACCCAGATTCTCTGAAAGAGCAGCTAGTGTTTTTAACCGTTGAGCCATATCTCCAGTTCCTGGTTTTTATTTTTTTTATTTATATATATTTTTGGTCTTTTTTTTTTTT